ACATAACATACTATTTTCGCAAATGCACTGTTTGGGATAAAGTGCAATAGCACGTGCACTAAAGTGCAACTTGTATAACAATATGGTGCAGTCTGTAAAATGCTATTTTTAATATGCAAATTTGAACTCGATGAGGTGCGAATCCGAACGCGATGAGGTGCATTGCACATAACATAATTGTGCAACTATCATCTTATTTTTATTGATTTACAAATTTAACCTATCAACTAATATATATTTCAAAATTCTTAATTTACAGGCAAGGACGAAAGGCCAACGGGTAACACCATCCAATCATATTATAAGAATACATATAATATTCCAAACAATACTGCAGACAATCAGACAGAGCAGAATCTTTTTTCTGTTAATAAACACACATATCAGCACATACAAATTACTGTCGATCCTTCAACCAGTACTGCTTCTCATGATTCTCAGTTAAGGGTTTATCCTCTCATTAGGTCATAGTAGATGCCATTGACTTATCTCTGGCTGCTAACAGTTCCAATTTGGATAATTCTGGTATTCAGGCTATTATGCCTATTATCTCGTGTCATCAAAAGTAGGCAGGTTTAAACAAGCAGATAAGACTAAAGTTCAACTTGAAAGGGCTGAAAGATAGCATCCCTTCTATGGCAAAATAAGATTGGGAATCAAGAACTGCTCCCTTGATTATATCTAATTTTCAAAAACTAGTCCTATCCCTACAATTTCCAAATCCCTAATTCATGTGCAGTTTGTTTCCATTCTTTGGCCTAGGCTGACGGCACCACCGTCGGGACGGTGGATACGACTGCGGGATGGGCGGCGACGGCGGCTGTGAGGGCGGAGATAGCATCCTTGCCGGACATGAGATCTAGATGGCGGCGGCAGTGGGGGTGAAGGTGAACAGCATCGGAATTTGACATGGCGGTTGAGGATGAAGATGACGGTAACGACGACGAGATTTTGACGGCAGCCACTAGTGGCGCCAACGAGGAGTTGTCACCCCGCCATGTCAGGCGGCGAGATGGTCGTCGAGCTTCTGGTGAGACTTCACCACGCGACGCCACCTCTACTCGAGCGGGTCGGGATGACGACGGAGACAGCGGGACTGGCGCGGCGAATGAGAAATACTGGCAGCGGCGGACCTGTGTGACGGTCGGATCTGGTTTAGCAACACCGGACGGTGTTCCGGCCTCCTCGACGGAAGTGGTACGGTCCGACAGAGCTTGTGCGGCGGCCATCGGTGAAAACGG